AATCCCGAAGCATTTTAACAATCCCGGAATTTCAGGATATAAAAATTTTAATCCCGGGATCCCGAAATTTTTCGGCATTTCGACTTCATCATAACTTTTTGCATTTTACCAACCACACAGATTCATTGTCACCACCTTTGGTCTTAGTGGAGTATAATGCCCTTTAGTAAAAGAGTATGTAATTTGATGTTTAAATATTTTTATTCTAAAACTAGCAGAGCACCCGACGTCGTTCGGGGTAAACAAATCAAAATATAAAACAGTAATACAAGTATTCAGTTCAGCCCAAATTGGAGGAGAAAAATTATTTTCTTCAACTACTATATATATATCTTCGATTTCTGTACTAAAACTTTTGTTCCATTACTAATATAAAATGAATTAAGGTAACGATAGAATTTTTAAATTAAAATTAGTCTACTAAGGTAGATTTCGTTTAGCTTCCTATTCGCTTAGTTGTTTTAGTATAGCTGCACTTTTCCGGTAGAATGCTTATTTCAGAAGTAGTTTGATTCGTTATACATACCTGCACATGTTTCGTTTAACAGCATCGAGAGATCAATAAAATGATTTAATCTTTACATTTCAAAATGGTCAAAAGACTTTAAAGTTTCAAAAAAAACACAGTTTTTAATATCCGAGTGGTCTAATAGTTGAATACATATTTATCCCCCTTTTACTAACACATTTATATATACTTTATTCTAAACACCCCCCCATTGATACCTATAAACGAATACCAAATTTCAAGTTCATGTGACTTATGGTGTCGAAGTTATAGCTGATAAAAAATTGCACGCCTATGGGATGTGTCACGCCCCCCTTTTACAAACTCACTTATATACACCATACTATACCTGCATACCAAATTTAAAGTTCATGTGACTTATGGTGTCGACGGTATAGCTTTTAAAAAATTCCACGCCACCCTTTTATAAACTCATTCATATATACCTTACTATAAGCACCTAGCGTAGCTGTGCCTGCATACCAAATGTCAAGTTCATATGACTTATGGTTTTGAAGTCATAGGTGTTCAAAATTTCCACGACTATGGGTGGTGCCACGCCGTAAGGCATCTGGTGGTGGGACCAATTGTGGCAATTTTACTTTGCCTCCAGCACAACATAATCTAGTGGATTCGCCACTGTATTTTAACGCCTTACAATATTTACAAATTATTGTCATTTCCCAAATTGTTACCGATTTGTCTGCATAATAATCTATTGCCGGATCACAGCGGAATGCAGCTCGTTCCAGGATCACAGGAGCACTGCGTCTGCGGGATCTCTCAATTTCATTATGTCGTGCTCACTGTTATTGTGTCTGGTGTGTACGAACTCGTTGCATTCTAAGCCTATCTACTTCATTGACACTCACTAAAGAAAGC